GGGGGGGGGGCTGGAGGAGAAGAGCCCTCTCGGCCACTGGGGGGGTTGCTGAGGGCTGTTTGGTTAGGGTCACACTGGCGGCCATGCGTCGAGGCCTCGGTGGCAGTGGCCTTGCAGTGACCCGAGTGGACAGGGCAGAACTGTCCCTGTGGGTTTCCAGGACGGTAAATCTCTGTGGACTTAGAAAGCCTCGTCTTTCTCCCTCGGAGTGGCTGGTAGTTTCAAACCATCAACCTTGCAGCTCACAGGCAAGTTCTTCACCACGACTCCTCCAAGCTCCTCAGTTAAGGTAATGCCTCCTTCCAGCTCGCTTGGACAGCCCGGGCATCTAGGCAGCTTTAAGAGTCTCTCGCCGCCCTTCCCCTGCCCTGTTCCTGCCGAGATACAGGTGGCCTCTCCCGGCCACGGGTGTCCACAGCAGCCTCCGTGACACTCCCCCGCCCCCTGCCCTCCCTGCAGACACAATGACCATGTTCGAGAATGTTACCCGGGCCCTGGCCAGACAGCTCAACCCCCGCGGCGACTTGGTACCCCTGGACAGCCTCATTGACTTCAAGCGCTTCCATCCCTTCTGCCTGGTGCTGAGGAAGAGGAGGAGCACGCTGTTCTGGGGCGCCCGCTATGTCCACACCGACTACTCCCTCCTGGACCTGCTGGAGGCCGGCAGCTCCCCTGAGGGTCAGTCTCCGTGGGCAGCCAGGACCTGTCGGGGCCAGCCACTCGACCTCGCTCCGTGCAGACAAAGTTGGTGGCCTCAGCCCCAAGTTCGGATGAGGAGCTGAGGCAGAGGTGGGGGGCACCCCTGGGCCCAGCTCCCTTGTCGTGTGTCTCTGGCAGAGCCAACAGACAGTGGGAACTTCGGGTTCACGAACATGCTGGATGCCCGCGTGGAGGGAAAAGTGGACATGCCCAAGACGGTGAAGGTGACAGGGACGGCCGGCCTCTCCCGCAACAGCACCCTGGAGGTCCAGACGCTCAGTGTGGCCCCCAAGGCCCTGGAGAGCCTGCAAGAAAAGCGGTGAGAG